TTGTAGCTTTCTATTTTTTTGAGACAGTCTCAGTCTGTCGCCAGGCTGGAATGTAGTGGGTGCGATCTTGGCTCACTGTAACTTCAACCGGGAGGCAGAGGTTCAAGCAATTCTCTTGCCTCAGCCTCCTGAGTAGCTGGGATTACAGGCGCCCACCACCATGACTGGCTAATTTTTGTATTTTTAGTAAAAATGGGGTTTTACCATGTTGGTCAGGCTGGTCTCGAACTCTTGACCTTGTGATCCATGTGCCTCAGCCTCCCAAAGTTCTGGGATTACAGTCATGAGCCACCACGCCCGGCCATAACTGTAGCTTTCTATATTGTCAACTTTCCTCATGTACTATAGTTCTCCAGAATCTATATTGTTTCTCATTTCAACCCATCTGAATTCTTAGAGTACCAGTCATCCTTCAGGTATTCTTCGCTGATGTCCTAAGACACATCCTTCTTCATGCCTCTCTTGTACAGAACCCGACCATAGTAGTTATCTTCATATAGTAATTTAACTGTTTAACTGATTCCTCCACTTCACTCCATGAAAACAAAGACTGAGTGTTAAATCAAGTCTGGTTCCTAACCAGTACCTGATACGTTATAGGCTTTAGGTCAAATGTATGAATGAGGCTGGGTGCAATGGCTCACGTCTTTAATCTCAGCACTTGGGGAGGCCAAGGTGGGAGGATCACTTGACTCCAGGAGTTTGAGACCATCCTGGGTAACACAGAGAGACCTTGTCTCTACAAATAATCAGAAATTAGCTGGGCACTGTGGTGCATGCCTGTGGTTCCAGCTGCCTGGGAGGCTGAAGCAGGGTAATTGCTCGAGCCCAGGAAATTAAGGTTGCAATGAGCCATAGCACTCAGCTTGAGTAACAGAGGGAGACCCTATCTAAAAAAAAACTCCAAAAACAAATGTATGGGCCGGGCGCGGTGGCTCAAGCCTGTAATCCCAGCACTTTGGGAGGCCGAGGCGGGTGGATCACGAGGTCAAGAGATCGAGACCAT